GGCCGGGAGCAGCCGCTGCACTCCAGTCTGGGTGACCGAGTGAGACTCCCACTCAAAAAAATAAAATAAAAAAATAAAAATAGATGCACAAAGATGCATCTTTCTAGGAAGGTAATTTTCTAAGAGGAGGAGACAGGCCAGCTGGCGCCAGGGCGCAGGCCCGGCTGGGCAGAGGGTGCCGGGTCGAGTGTCTGTCGCCCTGGGACCCACAGCGGAGGGAGAGGACGGACACCGTGGGAGGCCAGAGAGGCCTTGTGTCTGCGGACGGCGGTTCCTCGCGTCCCTGACCCTGCCTCCTCCCGCTCTCCCGCGGGCCAGCCCCCCCCCGCGCTGCCCCTCCCGCTGCCCCTGCCGCCCCAGCCGGCCCGCGAGCGCGACGGGAAGCTGCTGGAGGTGATCGAGCGCAAGCGCTGCGTGTGCAAGGAGATCAAGGCGCGCCACCGCCCCGACCGAGGACTCTGCAAGCAGGAGAGCATGCCCATCCTCCCCAGCTGGCGGCGGGGGCCCGAGCCGCGCAAGTCCGGCACCCCGCCCTGCCGCCGGCAGCACACCGTCCTCTGGGACACGGCCATCTGAGGGGGGCGGGGGACGGGCACCTGGACTGCGGAGCGTGCGGGCTCGCGGCCCGGCTCTCGGGACCCTGCCGCCAGAGGCACTGCGGCCGGTGAGAGCCCAGGGAGGAACCCTGCCCTCCACTCCAGCCCCTCGGGGCGGACCTGCAGTGCCTGGAGAACCGCCCCGGAAATCTTGGGGAGGGTTTGCTCGAGGTGGGGGTCTTTCCTCCCCCCGGACACGGGAGACCCCTCCTCCTGAGAGGGCCGAGGCCAAGCCTGAAGGTCAGCATGGGGAAGGAAGGCAGGGGGGTGGGTCGAGTGAAAGAGAGGGACTAGAGTGCCAGGCAAGGGAGCTCTTTTTCTGGAGCCGGGAGTCGGGGAAGGGGTATTTATTTTGTTATTTATTCTGGAGGGCGATTCTGGGCCCTTCTGACCTACTCCTGAGCAGGGCGTAGAGAACGGAGCCAAGCTTGCACTCTCCCCAGCGCCAGTGCCTGAAGGCCACCCGGGCCACCCCCCGGCCAGGGAGAGGTCTGTGTGGGGACCCGACTGAAAGAAGGGAGAGGCCCAGGTGAGCTGAGGGCAGCAGGCCGTCTGCCGCATTCACAGCTTGCCAGAACTTGGTAGTCCGCGTGGCCTCCTCGAAACAGGCGTCTCATTAGTTCTGGGGTGAGGCTCTAGCAACAGGAATGGGCGGGAAGACGGGGAAGGAGGGAAACAAACTCTAGCGGGTGGGGGGTGGGCAGGGTATTTATTTAAATTAAGACACAAAACAGAAGAGACGTCAGGAACTTTTTTTTAATTCCTTTCTTTTCAGAATAATATATTAAAAGACTCATGATCCTAGCGCTGGCTGCTTCGTGTGTGTCCCAGTGTGGCCCGGCTTGCTTCTTTTTCCGTCTTGCCCTTGGTTGGTGGGAGTTGAAGGTGGGGCGGGGAGGGGTGAGTCGCTGTGGCCCGCAACAGGGAGAGGTGGAGCCCGAGGTAAGTCTCTGAGGAGGCCACCATGCAGTGAGTCCGCTAGCGTTTGCGGACTGAGCCCCTGAAGTGTTCTTGGCATGCACCCACGCAGACGGACTTTGCAGGCATGAGGTTCGCGCTCACATGCCGGATGGGCTACTCAGGGAAATGAAACCCCAGACAGCAGTAGACCGAGCTGCAGGAGTAGGAGAAGGAGAGGGCTGCAGTTAAGGCTTCCTGGAAAGTGAGCCTTAAGGGCACAGGTGAGGTTTGGAGGAGCAGAGGGGAGCAGCGAAAGCTCGGAGATCACAGTGTGATTGTCCGTGGAGCAGCAGAAGATGGGGCCAGGGGCGGGAAGGGAGCGTGTGTACACGATGCAGAGGGCAGTAAGGAGTTCAGCCATGGCGAAGCTGGTTCAGAAAGGTTGGTCTCCAAGCAAGATGCAAGTCCTCAGGAAGGAATTCAGAGGAATCCTGCTGCGAGGCAAGTTGTCACCAGGGAGGAGGATGAGGATGGTGTCTGGTAGGGTGGAGGGCAAGGGATCACTGCGAGAGGAAGCTGAAACAGAACAGCCTTAGGATAAGGATGGAGGAACCAAATTGGTCGTGCAAGTTTGGATCTCCAGTGACTGGAGAAATGACAGAGTGGGAAAGGTAGGTTGGAAAGCCTGAGGGGAGAAGGTTGAATTTGAAGCGGTGGTCAATATTCGGGTCGAAAGGGTTGTTACCCACTAGAACAGGGTTCAAAAAAGTGTGGATGATACCAGAGATGTTTTTAAAGGGTATGACTTTTTAAAAAAATGTTAAGGTTTGTATTTATTATTATTCATATTAAGAAAATTATAACCAGTGTGTCAGGCTACTTAATGGATAGTATTGCACAAGATAAGGCTAAATTCATTTTTAATGAGTGGGTTTAAAGAAAAAACGTTAAGTAAATAATGGTACAGGCAGTGTACATAATCCGAAAAATGATGACAGTGGCAGGTGAATTTTTGAAATTTAGGAAACATCAAGTTAGAAGTAAAATGATGATAGTTTGGGAGGGAGGACAGGCCATAAGTTAGGAGTCGTTGACATAGAAATGGTTCTCAAGGCCAAGACAGGTGAGCTCTGTAAGGGGGGGTGGGCTGAGTCAAAGATCAAAGCATAAACAAGCAGTGACTTTTTTATAACTAGTTAGAAAATTAATGGAAGGACATATCCCATTCATAAGAGCATAAAAAGCCACAAAATATCTTGGAGTAGCTTTAACAAGAAATGTATGGAACCTACATGGGATCAGTCTGATAAAACCAAAGTCCTTTGAGTTGTTTAAAAAGGAGAGACTTGAGTAAGCAGAGTAATAACTTGCTCTTCGATAAGAGGACCTGGTAATAGAAAATTCATAAGTTCAATGCAGTTTCTAGATCCCAAAAAGATAGTTGAGGAACCTTGATAAGCTAATTTGAAAGTTCATGCAGAATGGGAATGAGAAAAACCAGAACATTCTGAAACAGAAGAGTAAAGAGGAGACCTATCCTAGCAAATACTAAAACATGAAATAAAATCTCGAGGCTGGGCTCGGCTCAGCCTGAAATCCCAGTACTTTGGGAGGCCGAGGCAAGTGGATTGCCTGCGCCCGCGCGTTGGAGACCCACCCAGGGAACTTGGCAAGACCTCGTCTCTACAATAAATAAAAAATTAGCTGGGCACGGTAGCACGCGCCTGTAGTTCTGGCTACTTGGAAGGCTGAGGCGGAAGGATCGCTGGAGCCCAGCGGGTCAAGGCTGCGGAGGCCGGGAGCGTGACACTGCACTCCAGTCTGGGCAACAAGAGTGAGACTCCAACTCAAAAAAAAAAAATCCCACCTTGCTGGTCCTAGCACAGGACTGGCATAATCCATCAAAATAGAGAGTCCAGAAAATAGCCCCTAATGCACTGAAAATTTATAATTTATTTGATAAAGGTGGTATTGTAAATTGGTTGGGAAAAGATTAGTTACTCAAGGATTGTATGTTGAACAATTGACTGGCCAGAGGAGGGACTGTGGTAGACTGTCCCTTTATTTCGTTCATTATGCCTAAAGATTTAAATGTAAAAAATGAAACATTAAAGGGGAAAGTGGGTGAAACTTGGGATAGGCGAGGCCTTTCTAAAATGACATGAAAAACAGAAAAACAGAAACAAGCCAAAAGACTTTTAAATATGTTCATATTAACAATTAAAACTTCTATATGTCGAGTCAAACCACAAACATTTAAACTAGGAAAAGATTTTTAACACAGTAAAAAGGTCAGTAACCAGGTGCAGTAGCTCAAGCCTGTAATCCCAGCACTTTGGGAGGTGGAGGTGAGAGGATTGCCTGAGCCCAGGGGTCTGAAACCACTCTGGGCAACTTGGTGAGACCTCGTCTCTACAATAAATAAAAAAAATTAGCTGGGCATGGTGGTGCCTACCTGTAGTTCCAGCTACTTGGAAAGCTGAGGCGGAAGGATCGCCTGAGTCCAGCAGGTCGAGGCTGAGGTGGCTGTGAGCGTGCCACTGCATTCCAGCCTGGGGAACAGAGTGAGACTTAAAAAAAGGATAAGTACAATATAAAATAAGGTTTATGAGTCAATAAGAAAAAGAAAAAGCAACCCAGACAAATGTGAACAAAGAACATAGTTCACCAAAGAAATTGAAAGTAAGAGTACACATGTTCAACATTAACAATAATTAAGTAATGCATAATAAAGCAATAATAAGATATTTTTCACCTATCAGATAAACAAAGTTGAAGAAAATTTATAACACCAATCTGACGAGTAAATGCAGAAAACAGGCTCTTATTGTGCAGATGTAAATTAATACAGCCATTTTGGAGGTTGGTTTAATATTACTAAAATGTTAAATGTGTATAGTTTTGACTCAAAAGTTCCGTTTCCAGGAATTTATCCTACAGAAATAGTTGCACAAGTGTGCAAAGCTAAATGCAACAGGAGTACTAATTGCAGCATTGTTTGAATTAATAAAAAATTGGAAACCACCCCAAAGTTCATCAGTATGGCATTGACTAAATAATTTATGGTAACAATGGAAAACTGAAGCTGTTAAATAGAAAGCAGAATCTATCAATGTTCTAAACACAAGAAGCCGTCCACAATAAATTAATAAGTGAATAAAGCCATGTGCAAGAAAGCATATGTAGAAAAACCTCATTTTTAGAAAAATTACTTATTTGTAAATATTTATTATTTTGAGAACTGAGAAAAGAGGGTCCTTAATTTACTATTTATTTTAGCAACAAAGTTCTTGGGCTCAAGGAATTCTCCTGTCTTAGGCTCCTGACTATCTAGGATCTCAGGTTGTCCAGGCTCATCTCAAACTTTCGACCTCAAGCAATACGCTCACCTCAGCGTCTTGAAGCACTGGGATTACAGCATGAGTCCCTGTGCCTGGCCTTAATTGACTTTTTTCTTATTTTTTAAAGAAAAATTTTAATTAAAAAAAAATAGACAACGTCTTGCTCTATTGCCTAGGCTGGTCTCAAACTCCTGGACTCAAGCAATCCTCTTGCCTTGGCCTCCCAAAGTTCTGGGATTACAGGCATGAGCCACCACACCTGGCTCCTTAATTTACTTTTAAAAAGTAAATTTATATCGCTTGAACTTTTTTTGTTGTTGTTTTTTCAGTGATGGGGTCTTACTACTTTGTCAAGGCTGGCTTGAACTCCTGGGCTCAGGCAGTTTCTCCACCTTAGTCTCTCAAGTAGCTAGGACTACAGGCACGCCACCGCACCAGCCTGCTTGAATGTTTATGTGTATGTCTTAATTCTGAAATCAGAGAAATATACATATACATATTTATTTATTTTATTTTTTTGAGTTGGAGTCTCGCTTTGTCACTCAGACTGGAGTGCAGTGGCTGCTCCCGGCCACCGCAACCGCGACC